TTTCAAAAAAAACCCACAATGCTAGCACTCAGCCTCTGAATTAGCCTCGATCGAAAAAACGGGACCTACAAAGGCACTTAAACTCACTCAGAACTCCCTTATTACTTATCCTAGATGCACAACCAAACACTATTTTTTGGTGTCCTGGAGACACTGAATCTAACGGTGCCCACCTCAACACTCAGTGATAAACATTCGCGACGCTATCAACGAAAGCGTACATCATCACATGTGGAGCCAAGAAGCTAAACATGTAAATATGGCTTACCTTGGTCAAAAGTGGTCTTCAATGGCATTAAAACGATAAAAAAACGATGCTGCAGTTAATCCATAGGTTCATCCTATGTGTCTGTGCCTTCTTTGAAATTATTTCTGATAATCCATAAGCAATACAACTGCGTTTTAGTTTCCAAACTCCAGAAGGAGACATTCCTCCAGTTTGGTTTCGTTTTCCACACGCGAAGCGGCCACATTTTTTCTTTACAATGTGTGTGTATGTGAGTCTCCTCCTTCGATTCTATTGGCTCTAACGGTCACAAGGGTATGTCAACCAACCAAATCGAGCAAGGGGGGCCAGAGATAGGTCAAATCCACCCAAATGACCCCAGATGGCCCAGTTTTTGGCTAAATCTCTCTAAAAAGGTCAAATTTCACTTGTTTTGCATCAATCTTGATACAGGGTACTTATTATATGTTGTACTTTGGATTCCTAAGCTTTTAGTCTACTAACCCATCATCCAAGGGTAGTTTTCACTATCTGTAAAAAATAATTTTTGGACGGACACTATAATTTACAGTTTTTTACTATGTAAAATCTGAATTTTCTTTAAAATAAAAAACATTTATATTGATTCTGACACTTCTACATCCAACTCACAGGTTTATCATTACTTTGAGAAAAAAGATTATTAATTTAACCCTTTTAGAAGGGAAGATATGGTCATTTGTTCTGGGAATGTCATTTTCGAGCCTGAGATATGAAAAACAGGCTCAGAGTGGAACAGGTTAAAGCATGTGTGTGTTTCCTAATGAAGGCAGTGTCTTCTCGATCATGCCTACAGTCTCTTTGGATAGCAGTAACTGCAGTTTAGAGAACAAACCACATGTTAGATATTTACTTTCACATTAATGATGTCTTTTTCCTCCTGCAGGCCAGTGAGATGCCGAAACTGACTGAAACACTAGCAGCTCCTCTGAGACAAATGCAGGTGAGACGACTGAAATCAAACATGTTTTCTGATGGTTTAAAGTCATAATTAGATCTTAAAGGTTCACCTATCAGGTCATTATGCAAAATACACTTTTTGATGTCTTTTATGCATAAATACGTGTCCTCGGTGTGTAAGGAGATAAAATGCATGGCCACATTTTGAGAAAAACACGATCATTGACATGTTTTTTATAAATCTGAGACCTATAATAAATGCCTAAGAACAGATTGTAATAGCGTGGTGCAGGAACGAGTCCTAAAACCAGGAAGTGAGTCAGCATTTCAGCACTTCCTGTTCCCTCGTCTCAGAGCCAATGGGATCTCTCCATAGGATTTAGGAAGATAGCTGAAATAAGGTCTGTGGTTGAGACACATTGAAGAGACGGATCACGTTTTGTTCTAGGACATTAAATCCATCAGCAGTGACCCCACTGGTGATTTCTGAAGAGTTGACGTGTCTGAAAAACGATGGTTGTTACCAAGTGGCTGAATAGGACTACAGAAGTCGTGGAGGTCGTTGTACGTCATTACGCCGAACACGTAAACACTGCTCTAAGTTAGTTTGCCCTGTTCTGCTTGAAAGCCAGTACCTGCCTCCTGCTAACTGTTCAAACAAACGCTTCAACTCGTACCATTTAGAATCTGTGTGTTTGAATATGGATCTGAAGTTGGCGTGACGTTGAAGTCGTGCTGCTGGACTCGGCTGTCGTTCCTTTATAGCATTACGTTAGCATTTTGCTGCTAGCGATTAGATTTATGATTAGAAAATGATAAAAGTAGGGTAGACACGTGGAGATTATCCGACTGAACAAAACGTGCATTTATCAAACAGGTTAGTTTTCCACAGATCTTATTTTTTACAATATTCCAAAATCCTATGGAGAAATCCCGTTGCTTTTTTGTCGAGGGAACCAGCCGCTTCCTCCAGGGTCGAACTACAGAAATACGTCATCACTGCCCCGCTCTATAGGGTACCTTTTAATGTGATTGCTGTTGTTTCTGTGCAGGAGTGTGCAAAGCGCATAGCGAAGGTTTCTGCGGACGCCAAGCTGGAAGTGGACGAGGAGACGTACCTGAACCAGTTCAAGCCTCACCTGATGGACGTGGTGTTCGCCTGGGCCAACGGGGCCACCTTCGCTCAGATCTGCAAGATGACCGACGTCTTCGAAGGTCCGTTTTATAGGAATTATAATAAAGATATAACTGTATAATAACAATACAGATAGTAAAGTGTCCTTATGTATTTTTTAAAGCTATGTTTACTTGACTCAGATGTTGAAATGAAGGTCTGCTTGTCTGCAAATTGACGTACGCTCTCTCAAGGCACCAATCTCAGGATCAATCATATCTGTCTATCTATCTATCTATCTATCCATCAATCCATCTATCTATCTATCTATCTATCTATCTATCTATCTATCTATCTATCTATCCATCCATCCATCTATCTATCCATCAATCCATCAATCCATCTATCCATCCATCCATCCATCTATCTATCTATCCATCCATCCATCCATCCATCCATCCATCCATCCATCCATCCATCTATCTATCTATCTATCTATCTATCTATCTATCTATCTATCTATCTATCCATCCATCCATCCATCCATCCATCCATCCATCCATCCATCCATCCATCCATCCATCATCCATCCATCCATCCATCCATCCATCCATCCATCATCCATCCATCCATCCATCCATCCATCCATCCATCCATCCATCCATCCATCCCTCCATCCATCCATCCATCCATCCATCCATCCATCCATCCATCCATCCATCCATCCATCCATCCATCCATCCATCCATCCATCCATCCATCCATCCATCCATCCATCCATCCATCCATCCATCTATCCATCCATCCATCCATCCATCCATCCTGTACAAATACACAGTATCCTTAAAAATTAGTACTAAAAACTTCTCAGATATGATCATTAATTCATGTTTAAACGACAGGATTTTCCCCTTTTTGATCATTAAGGGTTTATTAATGTTGGTTATCATGTTATTAATGAATTGTGTGTGTGTGTGTGTAGGGAGCATCATCCGCTGCATGCGTCGTCTGGAGGAAGTCCTGAGACAGATGTGTTCGGCTGCCAAGGCCATCGGAAACACGGAGCTGGAGAACAAGTTCGCTGAAGGTAATGAAATACTTTTTAATTAGCGCTGAAACACAATGAACTCTGTCGGCCAATAGGAGACTCATCGGCTATGTCTCGTGTGTGAATATCAGCTGTTCTTTCCGTCTTCTGTGACGGAAAGAGTTTAGTCTTTTAAATACGATTTCTTTGTCATTTTTAACATTTTAATTGTTGCTTTCTCATATTTTGTGTCATTTAAGCTCCGTGTATTCAAATGATTTACTATTTATTAGCTTGTTTTTGCTTTTACTTTCTTAGTCTTATTGTTTTCTTAGCATCTTATGATTCCTTTACTGCTATCCCCTCTCTGGAGCACTTTACATTCCCTTGTTGCTGTACACAAGGGTGTAACTTTGGTTTGAGAAGTGGGGGGGGACACAAAACAGGGGGTCCTCCGCAATGTAACATTTTCTCGATTTAATTCCATTTCCTGCCTTTCTACAAATATATTAGGGACTATAGTGTTAACAAATCCAAGAAAAATGTGTAGTGTATATAATGAGTGTGCACACTTATCTAGTATCCTATCCATGTGAACCTGTTTTACGACAGGAGAGAGCTCTCCCTCTCCTTATTGTTGAAACAGCTTCTAATCTCCGTTAGCTCCGGGCTAGCACCAAATGCTAACAACAACCCACGTAACTCTCTCAGTGTCTCTCTCAGTCTCTCTGTCTCTATTTCTCTCTCTCTCTGTCTCTCTCTCTCTGTCTCTCTCTCTCTCTCTCTCTCGGTCTCTCTCTGTCTCTCTCTCTCTGTCAGTCTCTCTGTCTCTATTTCTCTCTCTCTCTGTCTCTCTCTCTCAGTCTCTCTGTCTCTCTCTCAGTCTCTCTGTCTCTATTTCTCTCTCTCTCTGTCTCTCTCTCAGTCTCTCTGTCTCTCTCTCTCTGTCAGTCTCTCTGTCTCTCTCTCTCTGTCAGTCTCTCTGTCTGTCTCTCTGTCTCTCTGTCTCTCTCTCTCTCTCTCTCGCTCTCTCTGTCTATATATTTCTCTCTCTCAGTCTCTCAAAGTCCGACAGGAAAGAGCTCTCCCTCTCCTTATTGTTGAAACAGCTACTAATCTCCGTTAGCTCCGAGCTAGCACCAAATGCTAACAACAACCCCCTCTCTCTCTCACAAGATGCGCTCGTGCCACACACACACAGACGCTCCTCCGTGACGATGACCGCTTGCGTAAAAAAATAATAAACACATTTAAAAAGTGGGGGGGACACAAATGGGATTTTGAAAAGTGGGGGGGACATGTCCCCCCTGTCCCCAGTGGAAATTACGCCCATGGCTTTACACATGAACTTGCCTTGCTCATTGAAATGCTTCATTAACTCTTTATTTCTGTGTCTACAGGAATAACGAAGATCAAGAGGGACATTGTGTTCGCTGCCAGTCTCTACCTTTAATCTCCTCAGGAGTTTTAGTTATGATTAAGACCACAGATTTCTCTTTTTGTTGTCATATTTTTCACACTGTGGGCAAATAATATAACATTTCATCCCCAAATGTTAGTTTAATTGGCTTTTTAATTTATTTGTCCTTGAAATTACTTTCTTTTTCAGCTTTTTTCAATCAGAAAATGTGTCGGGAACTTTGCAAATGTCCTGTTATACTGTATTTAATTGCATAATTAGGATGTGATTTCCATTCAGGAGCATTCATGCGTTTATTAGTGGTTCATAATACAACATTATATTGATATATCTGCCTGGGGAGGTAAACCAAAAGTCATGCTTTCTTTAACAATACATCTGTTCATGATAACAAGTGAAATGGCTTTGATTCTCCTTTTAGACATTTGTACATATTTCTTTTCAATAAAAGTCTGTATGGTGATTGGTTGTTTTTCTTTACATACAAAAGTATATTATATTAGATCTACATAGATACGCAGCAGCGACAGCGAAGGCAACACGGGACTCAACTCTTAAACCAAATGTAATACGAGTAAAGCTTCATTTGAGTTATCTGGAGTTGAGTTTTAGGATCAGCTTTAAGAAGCAAACCTCCTTTGATTAGCCCTTTACTTAACACCGGAGCGAAAGGCACTCCAACTAACAGCTGATCTTTAAAGTCTTTACATATAGTATGTCGGGAAGATAACGTCATAGTATGTCGCAAAATCTGAACAGTCAAAGTATCGTATGTTGAGATAAAAAAAAAGAAACTTCAATGTTTTAGTCTGTTGAAAATGAGTAAAAAAGTCTATGGTTAGTATGTAGAAAATCTGAAATGACAAATGTTGAGTAAAAAGTCAATGTTTAGTGTGTTAAAAATCATAAAAAAGTAAATGGCTAGTATGTCAATGTGAAAAAACGTCATTATTTAGTGTGTCGTAAATCTGAAAAAATTTGCTAAAAGTCAATGTTTAGTATGTCTAAAAAAGTCAATGTTTGGTATGTTGAATATCTGAAAACACGTCATAAATGTCGAGGAAAAAAGTCATGGTTTTAGTATGTCGAAAAATAAATTTAAATGTAAATTTAAACGTCATAGTACAGTACGTCCAAAAGCTCTTAATCAAGTAAAAAGCACAGGTACATTCACAGGTTCCCCTCAGTGGTCGGCCCTGCAGTGGATCCTTCTTCCTGCTCAGTAGATAAACATGTCTTTGCACAATCTCTAAAACACACGTGTCGATCTACGAGGCTTCGCAGGTAGTCGGCACTTTCCTTCTTCCAGGTGATTTAAAAAAGTCTTAAAACCTTCCGCACGTTTCTTCTGGGATGCACAGCTTGCAGGGTAACGGAGAAAAGGTTGAGCATGAAATGAAAGGCAAGGGGTCCTGGGTGTGCGTTTTGGACAGAAGCTCCTCCCCCTCCAGGTGATGCTTAGTTGGGACTCTCACAGTGGTTTCCATTGGTCGTTTCCTGCAGCGTGGTGTGGGGGTTATCCTCCTCTCTACGGGGGGCGACGGGAGGCTTGAAGAAGTCCGACACGCAGAACACCTGAGAGAGAAGAGACAAGAGAGGAACATGTGTAAAAAGGAGATGAAAAAGTTGGGTTTTAAGTCGAGAGTTTAGTCTGAATTAAAGAAGGGGGAAAAGTCAGTATAGTATGTGGAAAGATCTGGAAGAAAAGGCAGTATAGTATGTTAAAAATACTCAGATGTTGTACTTGAGTAAAAGAAGTACTCGGATCTTGTACTTGAGTAGAAGGAGAAGTACTCGGATCTTGTACTTGAGTAGAAGGAGAAGTACTCGGATCTTGTACTTGAGTAAAAGTAGAAGTACTCAGATCTTGTACTTGAGTAAAAGTAGAAGTACTCAGATCTTGTACTTGAGTTAAAGTAGAAGTACTCAGATCTTGTGCTTGAGTAAAAGTAGAAGTACTCAGATCTTGTACTTGAGTAAAAGTAGAAGTACTCAGATGTTGTCCTTGACTAAAAGTAGAAGTACTCAGATCTTGTACTTGAATACAAGTAGAAGTACTCAGGTCTTGTACTTAAGTAAAATCTATTCTTCACTTTGCAGGGCTCATTCTTCTTTATGTCATTGTCATTTAATTGACATGAGTTTTCTGAGTTTTCACTAAACAGAAAACACTTAAAAACACAAAGAAAATAGCAGAAAATGGAAATACTCAGTAAAGTACAGGAGGTCAGCTGATCACTCACCACCAGCAGAGCCATAATGGCGCCCTGCAGCAGACCGGTCAACACGTCGCTCCAGTGATGTTTGTAATCCGACACCCTCGATAGGCCGGTGAAAACCGAGGCGGCGATCAGGAAGAACTGCATTGTGGGTCGGAGCAGCCGCGCCCATTCAACCTGGAGACGAGCCTGCAGGTAGAGCTGAGGGAGGAAAAACACACACGGGTTATTTAACAGGGAAATGAGGAGAAGGGATTTGCAGATGTGTTATTTCCACAACAAAATATTTCATTTATCCCAGGGGGAAGTTGGGTTTTGCATATGTGAAAATGTGCAAACTATAATATATACAGTAGTGTATAGGACTTAATAAATCAAGCTGGTCAGAGTTCCTGTAGGAGTGCCAGGAAAATGAGCTGCAGTGATTTGCAGATGACTCATGATGCTTTATCTCAGTCTGATTTATTTATATCAGAATCAGGAAGTACTTTATTTATCCCAGGGGGTTTTGGAAACATTGGCTCCATTTTAGAAGATAAAATGGAGAAAAAAAGGATTACAAAAATCAACTTTAACAAGATAAAATAAAATACAATACAATATATATATATATTTAAGCAATAGCTCACGACAGGCCGTGGTATATGCTCATTATATCACAGCTAAGGGGCGTGGTTCAACGCGAACAACCCCCTAAGTAACTACAATTCTACCCGTGGTATACGCTCATTATATCACGGCTAAGAACCAATCAGATTGCTTGATTTGACTTGTCCGTTTTATAAATATATATATACACTGTACACTCGCAGTATAAACATATAATACATATATAACTTGACTCTAAATTCAAGGCGAAGTTAAACAGGTTAATCTATAAATACCCTATAATACAGAGAGAACTATTTAGGTGGTGATTTCTAGTTTAAGGGGTGCAAAAAATAAGATATTTTGAATGAGAACTTTAAAGGTCTCCTATCATGCTATTTTTAAGGCATATATGATGGGTCTCAGATATATACAAATATATAAAAACATGTCTATGATGTGTTTTTCTCAAAATACAAACAGATCATGCATTTTAGACTTCCCTCATATCCCTCTATTCCAGCCCAAGCCCCCAGGAAGTGCGCCGGACTCTGTGCCCAACATTCGTTGTGTCCAAACGGCGGTACTGCAACTTCCGTATCAGTCCGTGACGTCACCCAGAAAGACTTTTTCCCATTGACTAACATGGGGAAAGAGACGTCTGTAAATCAGCGTATACATTTTTTAAAAACTAAATAAACTACCCAGTATGAACTATTTTATAGCCCTTCAATTATTAAGTCCTTAAAGTTCTAAAATGCACGAAAAGACCGAATCTAGATTTATATTCTCTCTCCATTCATTCTAGTGAGCCGAGAGTGGGAGCTCGGGGGGCGGGGCTTAAGGGGCGCATGCTCTGTGAGCGCACATGCGGGTTCTTCTGCTCTGACAGCTAGGCATGATGGGTAATCTGTGACGTTTCGCTCTCTCAAAAGTTGGGCCATTTTGTCCTCATGCACCAATGAGCAGCTCTCATAGGAAAGAACGAGACCCCGCCTCCCACGCTGTATCCAGTTCTTATTATACATCCATGGTTTCAGCCCAGAGAAACGCGGATTTTGGGTCCTTGGCTTAAAAAAAAAAGAAGCGGAGCTAATGCCTGATCAGAATTCTACCGGAGATAAAGTTAAATTCTGCTGTGATAAAACGCCATCCTGTTCTAAACCACATCAAGGATTATATCTGAACCAGTATGGAGCTCAAATGCTTTTTCTCTCTTGCGGGTTTTTCACAAGGTGAGTTCCTTTTTTTATTTCCTGCTTTTTAAACACATGCTCTCTCCAGTACAGGTTAGCTCTGAGAGTTAGCGATGCTTGCTAATGTAAACAAAGACGAGATTACGTCCAAAACACGTCATGCATTGTTCCTGATAGCGACTCTCTGTGGGTCCACCATCCGAAATTACGTCATATCGGCAGCAAATCTGTATCAGCTCGTTGTACCCAAGCCCCCAGGAAGTGCGCCGGACTCTGAGGAAAATATTCGTTGTGGCCAAACGGCGGTACTACACTTCAGTATCAGTCACTGGGCCCGGAAAGACTTTTTCCCATTGACTAACATTGGGAAAGAGACGTCTGTAAATTGTTGGATAATTTTTTTTAAACTAAATAAACTACCCAGTATGAACGTTTGTATAGCCCTTATTAAAAACATTCGGTCCTCAAGTTGTAAAATGGGCTAATAACGTTATTCTGAGTTATTTTCCTCTGCATTATGAACGCGCATCTAACCCACGGGACCGCGCCGCCCGGCACGTTCATGTGACGTGTTCAGTACTACATGAGTTTTACCTTTACCCATGGATGCACAATAAGAACGGATTATATGATTATATGAACACTTTCGTGACGTTTCGCTCTCTCAAAAGTGGGGCCATTTTGTCTTCATGTGCCAATGAGCAACTCTCATAGGAATGAACGCGGCCCCGCCTCCCACGCTGTATCCAGTTCTTATTATACATCCATGGTTGTAGCCCCGTTTTTAAAAGATTTGGGTACGGAGGAAAAGAGAGAGGGTTTTATTTTCTGACGCTGCGTGAGTTCCCCGACGCACCGGGGACACATTTATGTATAAAAGACATAAAAAAGTGCATTTTGCATGATAGGTCCCCTTTAAGGAATATTAAAAAAATGGGAGAAATAAGGTTGTTTTATAAAAAGTAAAAGTGTTTTCTGTGAAGTGAAAACATTACAATAAAAATAATGTAAAAGCATAGAAGAAGAGCGAGCCCTAAAAAGTGAAGTATAGACCCCCCAAATGTATATTTAGTAACTTCAGTGAATGTGATAATTCCTCCCTGATAGAGGTAGAATAAAACTGTTATAAATTAAATGAATTTTTCCAGGAAATAATCAAACATAATTGATTTTGTATCGTTAATTATTAGCTCTACTTCCTCTCCGTGTTTAAAAAGGTGAGAGAGTCTCCTGCAGTCCAGATTTCACCCTTAAATTACTGATAGTCTATTATTAGGTAAATAATATATACACATGACCAAATATGTATACATGTTCATTTGAATTTATTTCTTATTTTATAGTTATATATCATTTTTAATTGTTATCTTTGATGTTACGGAGGCGTGTGGTGCAGTGGGTTGGTGTTCGGATCTGGGGAGCACAGGTTCAAACCCCACTGCAGTCAGCATGTCGTTATGTCCCTGAGACACTTCACCCCAAAGTGCTCCTGTGGGGATTGTCCACAGTATTGAGTATGTAAGTCGCTTTGGATAAAAGCGTCTAACAAGTGACATGTAATGAAATGTTATCCTTAAATTGTATTAATCTGTGCTGTCCTGTTTTTCAATCTTACCCTGTTGCTGTTAAACTACTGACTTTAATTAATAAAGATCCATCTTATCTTATCTTATCTTAAAGTGGACCTATCATGCTATATTTGAATAATATAGTGTAGGACCATACCTATATAAGGCATATTTATACTTTTTTTTTTCTTCAAAATACCAAACAGATCATGCATTTTAGCCATGCCTCATTTCGCTCAATTTGAAAAATGTTAGCTCTGTTTTAGCAAGGGCTGATTCAGTGAGAACAGCACCACCTACAGGCCTGGCATATGTACTACAGCGTCTCCAGCGCTTTCGAACGGCAATGGCCGTGGCTGTCTCCTCCTGATTGGTGGAGTTGGCCCAATAGCCGTAGCGCCACCGTCCTGACGTCAGGACAGTGTTCAAATCTGGATCAGTTTTTATCAGATCCGTTGCAGCCCCTTTTTTAGAGATTTGGGTATGGAGGAAAATAGAGAGGGTTGTGTTTTCTGACACTTGGTGAGTTCCCTGGAACACCGGGGACACATATTCATGTAGAAAAGACGTACAAAAGTGCATTTTGCATGATAGGTCCCCTTTAAGTAAATATCACACCACCTCTGGAGCGTCATCCTGAAGGAAAACAGCTGAGCGTCACGTTTATTTGTGGCATAAACATCAAAAAGTTGTTTTTTATCAGAAACAGGGTGTGTGTGATCTTTAACGATTCAATGGGGACAAACCAGCTCGGCCACTTTACCCACAACGGTGTGTAAATCTGAGTTAATGACGCACTCTGCTGTTGTTTCAGAGTTGGAGGAAGGAGAGCTCTTCCAGGACTGTCAGACTGGAGCTCCGTGCAGAGGGAGAGGCGTCTGCGTCGCTGCCAGGACTTTGTCCCCGAGTTTCTATTTATAAATCTGCTGCTGGAGAATCAGCAGACTATTACATTTATCAGGGAGGGGCAGCAAGACCTGATAAAGACACACCAGAGGGAACTGAGAGAGGACAGAGTCTCTGAGCAGATGTTTGATTGATTGATTGATTGAAAAGTTTATTAACAGCTTGTATATTGGGTACAGTACAGTACAGCTCAAAACATACAATTGTTAAGGGGATGCAGACCAGAGAAAGACTTTCGTCTTGTTTACATCAGGGTCCCCCATTTCCAATTCATCATATCATTTAAGACATATAAGACATATTTGACATACAGATGGCTTATTTACAATTTACATACAGGTGGAGTTTTACATACAGATGGCTTATTTACAATTTTCATTTTAGATTTCGTTCTAATACATCCTAACCGGACATTTAAGACATACCAAGTCTACAGATATACAGTTAGTAACAGAGTCTAAAATGCGAGTATATACATAGATGGGGGGGGGAAGCTGTCCATTGTACGACAGGTTGAGATTTGTACCATTACCGGGGCCAGTTTTGCAATGCTTTCCCCCGAAGGTGCTCTTTAAGAGAGGTTTTGAAGGTAAGTATAGTTTTACTTTCCTTTACAGTTGTGGGAAGAGCGTTCCACCTTGATGTGGCATAATTGCGAAACGTGTATTCCCCTTTTTTTGTGCCAAATCTGGGTTTTACATGATTTGTGGAGCTCCCTCTGGTGTTATGATCATGGTATTCCTTGACCTTTGGGAAGAATTTTGACATGTACATGGGTACCATAGAGGTGTAGTGGATCTTGTAGACCAGGCCCATTGCAAGTAGCTGTACTCTGTCGTCTACTCTAAGCCATCCTAGGTTGTCAAAGTGGGCAGAGGTGAGGTGGGTTCTAGATGAAAGGTCAAGCAGTAGTCTGACCAGTTTATTTTGCGATGTTTGAAGT